AACACAAATCACGAAACAATGACATAAAAAGATTCTTTACAGCACAAGTCACGAAACAATGGCATAAAAAGATTCTTTACAACACAAGTCACGGAACAATATCACAAAAAGGATATTTATAACACAAGTCACGAAACAATGACAAAAAGGATATTTATTATAACGCATGTCACGAAACAATGACAAAAAGGATATTTATTATAACGCACGTCACGAAACAATGACAAAAAGGACCTTTATAAAACAATGATATAAAAATAGAAAAGGATCTTTACAACATAAGTTATGGAAATATATGGTCTTTTAAAACACATTTGAAATATACAAACGTTTCGCAAAAATAATTACGATTATAGAGTAACTGTGAATATTTTCATTTGAACTCAGTTTTTTTTTTTTTAAAAGTGAATACATTAAGGAGTTTTACAAATCCTACTTTCAAACAATGTGATATATTAATTCCGAATTAAGCTTTTAAAAGTTTGCAGAAACGGAAAAATTAGGCGTTATCATTAACAGCATATTTTAAAGCAAAGTGAGAATAATTTTGATATTTGGTGTTAGTTCCGAAATCGTTTGCAACAAGTAACATTACAATATATATATTTTTTAAACCCAAAACGGTGGTTTCTACTCGGTGTAAGTTCGCAAAAAAAAAAGTTGTCATTTCAACAAGATCATACTGAAGATTTTTTTGTTTTTTTGTCGACAAAGTTTGAACAGATGCTACCAGCTTGAAATAGCATATTATAACGACTGAGATACATCGAACACGTAATCAAACTATAGCATAAGTAAGAAATGAAAGAAACTTACAATGTCCGTATTACTTACTTACTTACTCTAGTTGTCTTCTCTGGCCTCGGCAAGTCACTGGTATCCCAGAGAAAGGATTTTCCTTGTTTAAATACCTCTCGCTAGGAAGTTAATCAGACTTCCCACAGCGCATGCTCGCTTCCTATTAGAATGTTATGTAGTATGGGTGGGAAATAATTTTCAGCAGCGCTGATATATATGTGGGAGGAGTAACGATACGGTTGTTAAAGAGTGATCTGTAAGAAAGAGAAAGACAGAGTCGAGAGGTGGGCGGGTACCATATCAGAATAAATCTATCTATCTATCTGTTCGAGTATCTAACCCTCGTGCCCTTCTACGAAGTTTAGCTAAACATAACTGTTGATCGGGGTCTTCTCTGTCTCATGCAAGTATTCTTGTTGTTCAGTACAACCTTAAGAAATTCTTATACAACAGATTGATCTATCTGTCTGTCCGTCTAAATTATAATCTATAAATCAATTCAATATTCAAAGTAAGGATTTGAAGGTGAAGTCGGCATGTACCATGGCAGTACACAAAATAATTTGTTGTTAGTGTAGGTGCTTCCTTCCATTCACATGTTTACAGGTTATAAAATGGACAGTGCGTGTAGGTGCTTCCTTCCATTCACATGTTTACTACCATGGCAGTACACAAATGAATTTGTTGCTAGTGTAGGTGCTTCCTTCCATTCACATGTTTACAGGTTATAAAATGGACAGTGCGTGTAGGTGCTTCCTTCCATTCACATGTTTACTACGTTGTAAAATGGACAGTGTGTGTAGGTGCTTCCTTCCATTCACATGTTTACAGGTTGTAAAATGGACAGTGCGTGTAGGAGCTTCTTTCCCTTCACATGTTTACAGGTTGTAAAATGGACAGTGCGTGTAGGAGCTTCTTTCCCTTCACATGTTTACAGGTTGTAAAATGGACAGTGCGTGTAGGAGCTTCTTTCCCTTCACATGTTTACAGGTTGTAAAATGGACAGTGTGTGTATCATACATAAGAAGTCATTGTAAGATAACTGTTCACTGACATTACATTGTTATACACGAGAAGGGGTTGTAAAATAACTGTTCAAATTATTACAAGCAACGATAATCAAAGGCTGTAAAACAAACACTGGAGTATTGTTTGTAAAGATTCTGTTTGCCAAACAATGTATATTATTATTTTAAACTTGTTGATCATTAGAATAATTAAATGACACTATTAAATGCGCACTCTATATTGTAAAACTGTCTTAAAATAGTACAAAAAGGATTGTCTTTTGTTATGTTATGCTGTATGTCTGCGGCCTTACAACGCTAGAAACTGGGTTTCGATACCCGTGGTGTGAAGAGCACAGATAGCCCATTGTGGATAGATTAACTTCAAAAACAAAAAAAATGTTGTTAAGTTCAATATTACAAGATGGACTCTTCCCCCCGCGGGTATCAAACAACCGATTTTAGCGTTATTAGCCCTCAGACTTACCTCTGAGCCATTTAGGGCCGTTGAGAAAAAAAGAAATATATATATATATATATTTATTAGAAAATTTTGAAATATGAATTACCAAGATGAAGCAGAATTATTATAGGGTCACAGAAGAGCACGTGTCCTCTTGAAAACTATAAATTGTTCTCTATATTAAAACTTACGTTCATTAATTACGTTCATTTTAGTCCATAATCAGAAAATGGGAAAGGTGTGGGACAGTACCCAGACTTATCAATTCCCTTCTCTCCTTCCGACCAAACCCCCCTAACGACGAAAAGTGGTATCATACATTAAAGTGGAACAGCAAGTTGTGTTAATTTTCGCAGAAGAACATTTTACCACATTGACACAGCGGTAAGCCTGTAGGCTTATAATGCTAAAAGCCGGATTTGTATACCCGTGGTGGGCAGAACACAGATAGCCCGTTGTAGCTTTGTGCTTAACAACAAATAAAGAAACTGATTTATGCAAATTAAAATCTCGATCGCCGCGCTCTGCCCAAGTTGAACTTCAATAACTTTTAACATATGTAGTTGGATAAAATATCAGAAGTTTTCCAGAAGTTTTACATGTAGTTTTATTCTATGAATGTGATAGCAAGGATTTTTACTCGAGTGTAGGTGTTACTCTATACTAGTCATAGTTTGAAATGGAAAGTTTTAGTTGATTTGTAACTCCTTACATCACCCTGTGGTTTTAAGTTTAACTATTTTTTTTATGATTTTATAATGTTTATTTTTGTTTAGGACATTCCTGTAAAGCTACATAAAAGGCTTCTGCCCTTGCCATTCCTATGTTTGAATTGATAGACTAGGGGGAAGGCAGTTAGGCAACAGTACTCACTGTCAACTCTTGGGCTGCTCTAGTCTGAAAAAATAGTGAGATTTGAATCATCACTGTTATAAGGCATCCACGACGGAGCGCGTTTTTGCGGCAACGGGTCGGGAACCAGGAACTCGTGGAACGTTAACTCTTAGCTGGCGCTAACATGAAGTAAATAAATAATATATGAATAATATAAAATAAAGCGCATGAAGTATTTTTGATGATATTAGCTTGCGGGCTTTGTTTCAGAATCACCAGCGCTACTAATTCTGTTTGTCTATAAACTATTTATTTGTGGGTATGTGTATACACAATTTTTTTTCTAAAAAGAGACTAACTTATATGCTTTAAGAGAAAAAAAAAACATTTAAACTTTTCCTATATGCTTTGGCAACTTTTGCAAATGAAATAGTCCAAATAATTTGAGATCAGCATTTTCAGGTTTCATACACAATCTGACTTGGCTATACTTTCAACTAAATGTCTTTGAATCAAAACAAATATAAAATGATTCTTCCCTCAGCCTAAATGAGTTAAAGTAGGTCACCTTCATTAGTAAAATAAAATTTTAACAACAGCAAAAAAAAAAAGAAGAAGCAGATAATGAAAAGCATTCCACATTAACGTATAAAAGCTAAATATAAGTGTTTTAATTAACCCATCTTTTTCCCTTTCTCTAACAAGCTTACAATTACCGACACCATGAAAAAAGCTTACACTAACAGGCGCGTTCTACGTACCAACCAAATGCCTGATAAACAAGACAGTATGAAAATAGCCACGATTCACGAATATGATAATAGTTGTGTGTTTTAATTAGTGAAAGGAAGGTAATTAATTGATAAGGTAACTAGTTCCCTTCTTTGGTAAAGTCGTGATATCTTCTAAACTTGCGTGAAAGTTAATAAGTAATGTATTTATATGTATGGTCTATGGCGATAATAATGCTCTCCTTAAATTAATCTTTTTTTTCTTCTTAGATATGAGTATGTCATTACCTTCTATCTCTAATTCTTTCAATTTTTTTTGCATTTACATTATTTAAAACATTTGTTTTGATGGTATTGTTTAATATGAACGAACAAACATTGTGAATGTTAGATTTGTATCATTGATTTTTTAAATATTCTGTTTCTGCTGGGGTACATTTTGTTTTTTTGGTTCTATATACTTTTTTTTAAATATGTTTACGTAAACCCATTTTGTCTTTCTTCTCATTAAATACCTTACGTTTGTGCAGTTATTTACGTCTTTGAGCTACTTTCTTATTTCTTTTCATACATCTGATATATTTAAAGCCTTAATGTGTAGAATTTTTTCTTAGTTTTCAAATTGGATACAGATTTTTCATAAAGATGTAAAGTTAATTTTGTTAATTTGTAGTAAAAAAAAGTGTTCATCCGGGATCCTTTGTATAGAATTTTGTATTTCCGTTAAGCTCTCATCAATTGATACTCCCATGTCTACGAGATCTGAGATGCCCACAGTGGCACAGTGGTATGTCTGCGGAATTACAACGCCAGAAACCGGGTTCCGATATCTGTGGTGGTCAAAGCACAGATAACCCATTGTGTACCTTTGTGCTACAACCAAAAGATCTGATATTTATTTTGGACGTGTAATTTATGGAGGTGATCTAATACTATGCTTCTGTTAAAACGAGTCCGGTTTATATTTTATTATAAATCCATCTGTTTAAAGAGTATTTTCAGTCGGCAAAAAATATCAGGTTTCGAAATTTCCTGTTTTTCTTGTTCCATTCTTTGATGAGATCTTTGTACGGACTGTAAAACCTCAAATCTGGTATTGTTCTTAAGTTGAACGGTTGAAATATCAATTAAATTTTTAACTCGGAAACCACCCGTTTGTTTTGTAATGGGTTTTCTTTTGGAATGTATATGTCAAGTACGTAATCTGCTTTTGATCCCTGGAGAAATCAAGTAGTTAGGTGTTTCAGTCTGGGATAGAATTTTTTTTAAATCAAAAGACAAAATTATAAAAACTGAAACATAAATATCAAGAAGTTAGTTTTAGGTAACGTAAAAATACGAAGTTTAAACTTTAAATTCTGCGGATTAAGTTCCAGAAAGTTTTTCGACGGAATGCTAAAAAAATGAGGTTCATTATAGACTCAAAGATACGAATAGCTAAGAAAAAAAAAGGTGAATTTTAGATCTAACACTCTTCGTTCTGCTGCTGTAAGAACAAACAAAAGATGCTACAAATAACAAAACAGTGTCCAGTAAAGTTGGCAAAACAGTGTCCAGTAAAGTTAGCAAAATAGTGTCCAGTAAAGTTAGCAAAACAGTGCCCTGTAAAGTTAACAAAGTAGCGTCCAGTAAAGTTAACAAAACAGTGACCAGTAAAGTTGGTAAAACAGTGTCCAGTAAAGTTAGCAAAACAGTATCCTGTAAAGTTAATAAAACAGTGTCCTGTAAAGTTAACAAAATAGCGTTCAGTAAAGTTAATAAAAATGTGTCCAGTAAAGTTAGCAAAACAATGTCCAGTAAAGTTAACAAAATAGCGTTCAGTAAAGTTAATAAAACAGTGTCCAGTAAAGTTAGCAAAACAATGTCCAGTAAAGTTAACAAAACAGTGACCAGTAAAGTTAGTAAAACAGTGTCCTGTAAAGTTAACAAAGTAGCGTTCAGTAAAGTTAATAAAACAGTGTCCAGTAAAGTTAGCAAAACAGTGTCCTGTAAAGTTAACAAAGTAGCGTTCAGTAAAGTTAATAAAACAGTGTCCA